AGCACAGCTCCTCTGCTTCTGACAGGGCTTCTGCCCACACAAGAGGCTCGCTTTGTTTATCTTAAGAATCCATCGTGGTCAATATCCAAATCTTCCTCAAGGCAAACTGACTGGGGCAGCTACAGAGGAGGACACCACTGTCAGGTTGTTTAACCACATGGTATCCTCTGATGCTTGAGAAGACCCTCTTGTTGACCGATTGACCCCCAATTTATCCCAATCAAAGCTACCAAACCCCAGACAAAAAACCCTGAGGTTTATAAAAGGCAATGTTGACTGGATTCCAAATGATGCCAAAAATCAACATATCAAAACATGAGAAAAACGAGCCTCTTGCATCAGAAAACACGGAGTATAGAAAAACATCAATCCGTTTAATGTCAGAACAACAATTGAGACCTTATGCATGTAATGTATCGAGCCATTGACAAGGCTGAAAATTCATGCAGCATGCAAAAACACAATATAACGTGTTTAATTAAAATGAGAGGACTGTTAATGGTCATTTCCTTTCAAAGCCCTTTCTTTCTCAGAAAAATATGTATATTTACAGTGCTAAAACTACTGATTTCTTTAGTGCCATCTTCAGGACTAACGTCTTACTATGCTACACTGTTACAAAGGCCTGAAAAAAGGTATCCATTTCTTTATTCTAAATAATAGAACAGTAAATAAGGCTACATAGAATGTGCATTCAACATGCAAAGCAGAGACTGGCTAAAATACGTTGCTCTTTAAAGATGCCTTTGTAATGTTAATTACAGGTATGCTAAAACAACCAACGTTGTTATAGTGACAGTGATCATATCTTCAAAGAAGCTGTAAAAGGTCAGCTTCATTGTTGTCAAAGTTTGCCCACCAGTGTACAATCAAAGCTGCCAGAGAAACTGTCATTTACCGTTCAGCTTTTTCATGGCAGAAAAACAGCAGAAAAAAGTTAATTAAACATTAGATTTAAAGGTCAGATCAGTAAGTGCCAGAACTGCACTTCAGTATTTTAAATTTCACACATGTAGGTGTCCAGAGAGATGACACACTGCGAACACAAAAAAATACTGTGAGCTTCCATTTCTCAAATCCTCATTAAAAACACTCAGTTCCTGGGTGGCCTGGAGTCATCAGGATTTCATCATAAGGACGAATTATCTTGATAACTGATATTTTCAACAAGGCTCCGATGCATTTTATACATAACCATATCTCCAACAAATCAAACACTTTGGAGACCTGTAACTGCAAAAAGGCTTTAAGAAACATCTCCTAAATAACAAACTACGTAAATAACTAGGTTTGAGGCTTCAGCACTAAAACAAAACATTGCAATAAAAACGAAGACATGGGTTTTAGATTTTACGACAGGCTGCTCCTATATCACTGCATGGGGAGGGATGACTTTGGTGGAAAAAAAAATAAACAGCCTTCTGAGGAGGTGAATGACAGATGGGTAAGAAAAATGACACTTTGCAACGCCTTACAATGAAATGCTATAGTGGCAATCAGGCCGATTCTGAACAGTACAGGTTTATGAACTGCATGGAGCAGTTGGGACTGTATTAAGAGGTGAGGAAGGTTGAAAGACAAGGCCGATGGAAAGAAACTGAAGTGGGGCTGTCCAGTCCTGGAGGGCCTGTGTGTCTGCAGGGCTTCATTCCAGATCCGTTATTTCAATCAGCTCGTTATGTACTCGGAGGCACCAGTTCTCCAGGACCTGGGTCGCCACCCCACCCACAACCCAATCAGAAAACTTCCCAAAGAAAAATAAACTTTCTGGGAGACAGAAGAGCAGGAGGGGCTGCATGCGATGACAACACACTCGGCAAGCAAGCAGCGAGAATTTTTTTTTTCCCCCCCGGGGACACAAAGCAGGGGAGGGTGAAAAGGCCATCATTACTCAGAGAGAACGTTTCCATAGCAGCGTCCTCCAGCTGGTCCCACATGGAGCTCTTGTCCCTCCCTGGCAGGCGTCCAGGCCAAGCAGAGAGGAAGGAGACAAGCAGGAAGAAGTGGAGTTAAGCCGGAAGGTGGAGGTGCAACATTCCTTGTGTTAATAGCGGACAAGAGGAAGCGAAACCCACAGCAGACGGACAAATACCACCCGAACAGCGTGGAGCCCTGGATCAGAATCAAATATCAAGCCCGGGCACAGGAATTTTAAAGAGGTGAGGATGATAATCTTCAAGAGAATCTGCTTTCAGTTTTGGTTAAGAAAGAAAACCCCAGGGTAGGAACACAAATGCAAGCACAGGTGATTTGTGTCATGACAATTGTTAATTTCAGTGTGGCAACAATACAGGCCTGGACTGCAAAACAAAAAAAAGTGCTAGTTTCCCTAGAATCCACAGCCCCTACATTCAGCATCACTGCGTTTTTATTAGTCATGTACGCAATGGTAAGCTCATCCTCAGAGACATCACACTGAAATCAATGATCAGCGCTCCATTGCTTTATTCTAAATAGTGCTCCAGTAAAACAAGGCTGCATACTCTACTGGGCAGCAAGAAAAGGGGTCAGGACAGCCTGGCTATCCTGGGATCAGATTCCCGGCGCGCGAGCAGTGGACATGCCGAAGGAGCCGGGTACTTCCATTCCAAACACCGCTGAAACGTTCCTCCCTGCAGCACGTCCGACGAAAGGATGAGAAGCTGAACTATCATGCAGAGAAAGTAACCGTGTCCGCACCCTTTCACATACAAAACGGCCGCTGAAGCCTTTCCTACTGGAGGAGAGCGCCGCTCTTGTCCGCCGCAGGTAAGGCTCAACAGGGTAGGGCGCGGCTCTATTACCGAAAACGCCCAGTTCTAAGAACCCTAGCTGCCGACGCATCCAGAACACCGCGACGCCTGTGTTGCCAACCGGATGGCGGGGGGGGTCTTACCCAGCAAGCCCTCGCAGAGGTAGACTCTCATGCTGACGTCCTCCAGGGCCACAGGGGGCGCCATCCTTCCGGGCAGGCTGCCCCGGCCCGGCTTCAGCATGTGGGTCTTGCCCTGGGAGATCAAAGAACCGGCACCGGCGGGTGAAACCCGGGACAGTATCGACGGGCCTTAAGTTTACAACTAAAGAAGAAGGCTGCGGAGATATCGCTCTTAATAAAACGAACTTATTTAGGAGAACCTCGAAGAGCAGAGCCTGTGTTGTTCACCGCTTCCTCAGCTCGGGACGACATGCTGTCCTGCAGCAGACTGAAGGACTTAACCTGTGTGAGAACTGTCAGCTGTGCTACTACTGTAGGCCATCAGGGCTCAATCAGTCATCACATCCCAACAGTACTCTCAAGTTCCTGTCAAATACTGGCAACACTGAGTTTACCAGATGCTCCAAGGACCTCAAAGAAAGTTCAGTGTCAAAATCTGACCATGGGACCCCGTATCTGGTCTTCCATCTATCTTGACCCTGTATCCCGCGGCCGGCAGAGGAACCCTACTCCGTTGGGCCCCTGAGCAAGGCCCTTAACCCCAACTGTTCCAGTGGCACCGTATAAATGGCCGACCCTGCAGTCTGACCCCCAGCTTCATGGAGAGCAAGCTGGGGTATGCGAAAAGACAAATTCCTAAGACAAGAAATTGTATATGGCCAATAAAGTGATCTTTTCTTATCTTCTCTCCAGCAGTAAAACACTGGTCTTCATCTCAGGGCTGCGCCAAACTACACACAGTTCTTTTAAAATGTAAGAAAGTGGGCGCCCCAACACGGAACAGCAGTCGGGGTTCTGGAGGACTGTGGGTTTGAATCTCAGGAAGGAGGGTGTTGTTGCACCCAGACGCAAGCTACTTTCTTCAGCTGGTTACAGAGCTGCACTGCGGTGTAAATGGGCACTAGAAATGAGTCTTTGTTCTCAACTGACTGATCTGGTTAAATGAAGGACCAGACAGATCAATCATAAAGAAGGCAATCAATTTTAAAGGTGGAATACTGTAATAAAGACATATCCCATGGCACATATTTTGTTCTCACTGATACAGTATGTCATTATGTAAGTGACTTTCTGGTGCTCTGTCAGTTAATTCATTAAGCAAGCCGGAGGGCAGGCAAAGGAACAGAACACTGGAGACGGCGGAGATGTCTCCAGCTGGGGAAGACTCACAAAGACGGAGCTGGTGGCGGGGTTGGTCTCGATCTCGCTGTCGGACAGAGTCCCCCTGGATGTGGCGAGGTGGGCAGCCAGCTTCCCCGCCGGCCCGTCTCCCGCGCTGCTGCTCAGGTCACTGTCGGCTCCCAGCGTCTCCCCCGAGCTGTTGCTCACCTGCCGCGGAGACCGGTGGACGTCAACACCCAGGTGGGCGCAGCGGGCGGGGCAGGACGCGCCCACCTGCCACTTCCCGCTCCAGAAAAGACTAGGCTACCAGGGCGGTTTTTTTTTTGAAAAAACGGCTGGATGAGATCCAGGGGGTCAATTGGCGACAAACTACTAAAGAGGGCCAGATTTGGCCTCCTCTCATTTGTAACCCTCCTTATCCATCCTTCTTCCAATTCCAGGCCGTGGGGGAGCCAGAGCCGGAGCCTATCCCGGCAGGGTACACCCTGGATGGGACACCACGGGGCAGACACACGGACACGCACACACTCGCGCCAAGGCCAATTTTCCCAGAAGCCAACGGACCTACTGCCATGCCCTTGGACTGTGGGAGGAAACCAGAGCACCTGCAAGAGACCCACGCCAACACCCAACTCCACACAGATAGCACCCCCGGGTCCAGAACCCACCCACCACTGCGCGACTGCGCCGCCCTGAACCCTTTCAAGGTTAAGGACAGGCGGCTCTGCAGGATTGTGCGATATCGCCGTAACGACGCATTCAAAAGAAAGCCCTCTTCGCCAGCCCTCGGGTCAGGCCAGTCAGGGTGGGATCGCATCCCAGCTCGCACTGCCTCCGAGTCGGGATAGGCGGAACGGCGTGGGGAACGGGGGGGGGCGCTCCGTCTTGGCAGTGCCCTACCACTGTGCTGGCCTCCGACTCCTGGCTGGTGCTCCGGGTCAGGCCGGACGGCTCCGAGCTGGCGATGGACTCTGTGTCGCTCTTCTGCGCCAGGAGGGAGGGGAGAGAGAGAGAACCAAGCAGTGAGAGGTGAGAGGTGAGAGGTGAGAGGCTTGCTCGTGTCGAACACGGCCGCTTTCGTTCCTGGCTTCCAGCTCGGTGGGCTCCAGTCCTCGCTCGACCACGAACCTCCGAGGACCACTGCACTCAAACTGCTCATACTGAGCTGATAAACTGCTTAATTAGGTGTTAAGGGGTCCGAGCAGAATGAAATCCTGAAGAAAGGGCAGCTATCAAGGAGTGGAGCTGGGAATTAGCATTAAAATGGACTTAATCATCTTGGAATTATCCAGCTGTAAGATACTGTTTACAGACGTTCACCATGATCTTTTAATTCCGTCTGTGGTCTGGATGGTGCTTGTCTTCAATTACACGTGAGCTGTTTTAGTGAACTCTGGGCCTGACCATTGCACTGCTAAAGCCCGTGCTCAGACCCTTTGGGGGCGGAGTGGTGTCTCTGTGGCTCAGGATCTGCGCCTGTGGCTGGAAGGTTGCCGGTTTGTATCCCGCGGCCGGCAGAGGAATCCTACTCCGTTGGGCCCCTGAGCAAGGCCCTTCACCCCAGCTGCTCCAGGGGCGCCGTATAAATGGCTGACCCTGCGCTCTGACCCCCAGGACAATGTCGTTTGGCGTCAGTGGACGATCCGGCAGAGACGCCCAGCGGCTCGGCCACGCACCTGCGACCCCGAGGTGACGCTGAGCCCGCTGTCGGCGCTGATCTGGGACTTCTTCTCCTCCCTGTCGCCGACGTCGGAGAACTGCTTCACCCCCTCGGCCCCTGCAAGAGGAGAGAGACGGTCACCGAGGCAACCAGCCCGGCCAGCTCGCTCGGCCGCCCTGGAACAGGTCAGGCGACCAGCGGAAGCAGAGGAGGCCGACGCTGCCGAACAGCGGCGGGCAAGGCGGAGCTTGTGATGGCTGCACGGTGTTTTCTCGGTGGCCTGGACGCTCGCTTGGCGCTCTGTCTGATTCGATTCTGCGATTCCGCCGGACCTGCCGGGGACTGTACCTCCGGGGTGGCCGCCAAAAACTGCTCAGCTGCAGCCTCCACGAGGAACCCCTTGCTTCGCGAGAAAACCCGAGCGCTCACTCAAAGCAGGGTTTCGTTCCGGGATCAGGCCGACATCCTCTTGCGTCGTGAAAAATCTCACTCCCTCTCTTTAAACGATTTCTCTGACAATTTAATTTTGCCCACAACCCAGGCCGCAAAATTCTCCAACTCTTCTACTTGTACCTTGTGTCCATCTGATTAAAAAAACAAAATCAGATGGACCAGTACTGTGGAAAAATATTGGTGTGAAGCTCTGACTGACATAATTGGTCACGTGCCTTAGCTTCAGAGAAAGCTGCGAAAGTCCAGCGTCGGACACTAGACACTAGAGAGTGTGGCCCTGTGGCTCTTGGCGGCCTTTAGGAATGAGCGCTACTCTAGATTTGGGTGGACCACCGTGCACACGGCGCTGGGCGATCCGCGGGCCAGTCCGAATCACCCGACAGTCATCCATAACCTCCCCTCAAGCTCCTGACGTTTGAGCACAGCGCCTGCATCCCAGCAACAGGGGGCGCTGTGCTCAAAGGCTGGACTCCGTGCAGGACGCTGCGCAGGGGCTGCATTCACAAAGCAATCGCTCTCTGGGGCTCGTTTCTCACCAGGCTGGGCTTCTGGAGGTTCCCCACCCCCTTCGGTGTTTCAGATGAATGCAACACGTCTATTCAACTGGGGAAAAAAAAACGCCCAACCAGCTACTTAAGTTTTTTCAACTCAACAGAAATTGTGGTAACTACTACCCACCCGCGTTTTAAAAATGCGGCACAGCCCACTGGATTAATTCACTTGCAGCCACCAGTGGAATCGAATTTTAGTTTTTAAAGCTCACCGCACATTATGTGAGAATTAAAACTGTTGTCCAGTATACAGAGCAATGTCCTTCGTGATGATACGTGCCGCTTCCACACCAGCCCCGTTCTTTTAAACATACCAAGTCCGGGACGGGAATCGACTCGCTGTTAGCCCCTTCAGAGCGAACCTCCTCAGAATTCAGCCCCTGCACTGTCATCCCTCCCCCTGTAGGGGGTGCTGTGCCAGCAACCGAGCAAGCAACACAGACCGCATGAAAGCAGGAGGACAGAGAGAGAGAGAGAGAAGGGGGGAGAGACGGGAGGCACAGGCCGCAGCGGGCCGGGCGTGCCTGAGAGGGGACTGGTAAAGACTGAGAGACCGAGCCACAGATCTGAGGAAGAGCAAGGTCCTGCGAGCACAGACAGAACAGACACTTCTAACGCAGCTACCTGGGGAGGCAGGAACAGATCTAGCTGGGTTCACTGATTCCATAGCTGCCAAACCCACACACACACACACACAGCAGGGGCAGAACGAGAGGGCTGGGGAGGGGATCGGGAGGCGGGAGGGAAAGAGGGAATCCGGAGGTCTGTAGGACGAGGACGTGACCGAGAGCTTCGGCGAGGCTCGAACAAAACGAACGAAAGAACGCACAAAGAAAACGACAAGGTGAGCAGAGTGGAGCGCTGAATCCAGACACAAATCAAGGGACGATCGAGACATCCATGTAGGTTGACTACACTGCTTTATGCAGAGAGTGGAGGGTGGGTGTCAGGGCCATACGACACTTCTTTACATAGAGGGGGGTGGGGGTGGGGGGGGAGGGCTTGTGCCCAAGTCTCCGTTCCGCTGCAGCTATGTCGGCAGAGATGAAATCTCCCAGGTGAGGCGCAGGCGTGAGCGGTTATGGAGCAGAGAAAGCTCAACCGCTGCGTTGAGATCCCCCCGCCCCGATGACAACCAAATGTCCGACAGCTCTCATCTGGGCGCCAGCGGCCCTCACGCGAGCAGAGACACAGAAGCGCACGAGAGCACAGAGACGCCGCGGGCTTCCTGCGCGCGCGGAAAGCAGCCAGGCCCCGCGTCGCCGCGGCTCCGCCTCCTCCGAGGCCGAGGCGACGGGCGAAGGAGACAGCGAGGCGACGGCCTACGGACAACTAGAGAACCTGCAGGAGTGCGGAGCCCTGGGGCTGGACTCGACCACCACTGACTCAGGGCCAAATAAAACCACTCCCTGCTGGTCTTCAGATCCGACACTGATGGGGAGAAATGAAATAAAAAATGAGCTGAACACGCCCGCCTTTCGTGCTCTGCTAGCGAAACATGTTCAGCGCGTCTCTCGCTTGGGGGGGAAAAAAAAGTCATTTCATGTGGGCAGAGCTAAGCTTGGCACAATTTTCTCTATGGCAGTATTATTTCCCTAAATGCCTGCTGCTGCTGTTGTATTGCTTTCCTGTCACAGAGGCCGAAGGGGAGGGAGAGGGAGGAGGAGGAGGAGGAGGAAGAGGAGGGCAGGCTGCTGGAGGGAGGCACAGAGTTGGCAGTTATGGGAGGCCTTGATCTCTTTTCGTGTGAAATGTCTTACTCAGTTTTTCCATAGCTTTCTGCTTTCTGTTATCCTGGTACTTGCTCCACAATTCTACCCAAGATGCATTGCAAGCGAGGAGAGAAAGACAGAGAGAGTCAGAGAGCCGCTTGGACAGGCAGGAATGGGTGGGGGGTGATGGGATTTCTGGTTAAAAAAGGCACACACCATCAAACAAGGCTGCAGTTCATGTTGTAAAAACATTCATGAAAATGGCAGTACTTTGTAATTGCACTCAAAGCTTTTTTTAACAAATAACATAACAGGTTCACCAGCAGTAAGATTGCTTAGGAGCAAGCATTTCTAATTAACCATGTATTTTTTCTTTTCATTATACAGCCATTGAGGCACAGTATTCTTTGTTGCCACTGGTCCTGAAATGGTTAATGACGGGGCACTTTGCTTCATGAAGTCTTTTAGTAAGTGGCTGTCAAGTTTTGCTAAAAAAAGCCTCATTACAAAGTACTTCTGGAGGGTAAAAACAAAAAATGAAACTAGTGAAGATGGAAGAATCAGCTGAACAGCCTGTCAGCCATCAGAATGAGGCTCAGCAGAAGCCATGGAACACTGGTCATGAACGTTCAGTAGAATTGAAGTTCTATTGGGAAAAAAAAGGGTCAGAAGTCAACCTCAGCCCAGTGTACACAGACCTAGACGTGGGTTACACTGGTGCCCAGCCAGTGGGTGTGGCATGACTCTGCCACTGTCATATTCCACAAGCCAAAACCTGGTCAAGGACATCGTGGGCTTCACAGAAGCCTAGTTTAACAGTCAACAGCAGTGTCTCCATCCATAGAAAAACGAAGGGAAATTACAGCCAATTAATTTACAGACAAATCAAAGGGCAAGAAAATGATTTCTTTTTAAACAGAAGTACTAATTAGAAATACACTGCTTATGCAATGAATAGACAGTTGATGAGGGATTTCTCTAAATCGGTGTACAGGGGACCATGGGACCAGGACCATCTTGAAAGAGAGGTGCCTAACATTCTACGACAACCTCCAGGAAAACTGCAGTAGCTCCAGAACAACCCCTCTAAAAATGCAATCGGATATTTTTAACCGATCGGTTGCTTGTTTTTCCCTGCATTGGATTCTGCAACAGGGGCTTTTTAAAAAAAGGTCACGACGCACTGCTCAGATACTGCAGATTTCTCTCGCAAAACAAGCCAGCAGAGAGGAGGAGGGGAAAAAAAAAGAAAGACATGCACCAGTCCTTTCGTCTAAAGAGAACCCGGACATGCTGAGATACTGCCAGCACGCCGCAGGAGCAATCTTCTCTTTAAAGAAAGGGATGTGAGAGAGATAAGACAAAGAAGGCTGCTGGTTAAAATGCCGTTGTGCAAAAGAAGCTCACATGGTCTATAACAAGACAGTTGCATCGTGTTGCCTTTCTCACTAAGGGGCTGCTTACTGCGGCTGATCAATAGGCAAATCCCCCTCAGCAGCTACATGACTTGAGACAGTTTTTCTGTCTAAGCACAACTTTTGATTTTGCACCTGTGTCTCGCCCTACCTCCTACCTCTGCGATCTGAGCTACTAAGGACTTTGGAGATGCAAGCAGCCTACTTTATCTCAAAAAATCCACAGGGGCTTTGGAAAACAAAACAAAAAAGATGATAAATATACTTTACCCACAGGAATAGATTTATATATATATGCGCTCTTACTGGGAAATAATTGCTGTGTTAGCGACAGACTAATCCCTCTAGGAAATGTGCAGCATATAGATGTATATGTCTACAAATACATCCATATGGTTCTTCCTTTCACTTTGCAAGTGACCCCTCGAAAAGAAACGAGACAGCGCCACACTGGGGCACTGGCGGGTGCCCAGGGAGAGCTCCCTCTAGTGGCGCAGAGGAGGAGCTACGCCCTCGGCCGGGCATGCAGGCTGGTACACACCAATGGAGGCTATAAAGTTCTCTTCGTTGAGGCTCCGCGTGTCAAACTGACGGGGCCCCTTCCCCGCGGAGGGGGCGGCGCCCGGCGGGAGCTGGATCTTGGGGACCAGCAGGGGCCCCGCGGGCCTGGCGCTCTCTCCTCGGGGCGTTAAGCTCTCCTTACTGCCCGGGCTGCTGCCGCCTTCCGTAGGGCTCCGCTTGCGCTTTTCCGGGTCTTTGGAGAAGAGCAGGAGAGGAGGAGGGAGCAGGGAAAGTGGGGAAAAAACAGAGGAAAGAGATAAACCAGTGAGGGAGGAGTTTTGGGGGGGGGGGTACTTGTGAATTAAACCGAACAGTTTGCATCAAAACCCAGGAAGGCAGGACAAGAGGAACCACAGAAACAGAAGAGCACCCAGGGAAAAAGAAGGGACACCGTGCAAGACCAGGGGGTACACTGGAGACTGAGAGCTCGGAAAACCCCCAAGCTGGAGCCTCTAACCTGGGGAACCGCCCTGCGTTTCAGTAAACTGATGAGAACGACCCCCGGCTGCATCACTACTGTTACAGCGTACTCACTAGGGTACTGAGCGTGGCGCGCTGGGTGCGCTGATCGTTGTGACGCGCGATGGAACGTTTCCTACAGGTATGATTTCCTGCAGTAATAATCTTTTCTATCTTCCACAAACTATACTAAAGGCTGATGTTGTGGTTTTACTGCATTTAAAAGGGCCGAGGGTAAAAATACAGTAACAAACATCAGGCCCTTTTAAGCCTGTGTTTCTGGGTGCGTAGGCTGTTCTTACACAGTCTCTTTACACGTTTTCTTTTCTAAGGGCAATGCTTTTGAAAAGCTCATTACTTGAGCTCCGCTAGAATGCCAAAAGTCCTCACGTCAGTCCTTCAGCTCGGAGATCCGCTGAAAAAAGCACACTCAAAAATGTCCGCTGATTTCCAATTAGCGCTAATGTATTCCAGACCCTACATTGTCACCCTGCTCACAAGTACGAATTCTCTTTGGTTTTTACAAGGAAACTTCCCTGCGGTTACAGAAACCCGAAACAGCGGCATCTGCTCTGCAACATCTGCCGAGCAAAAAACAAGACTGCTTTCCCTCTCCTGGTGATCTTCATGTCCACTGAGCACATCAGAGATACCACAGCCAGTTTGGGAACAGCTCCTTATAAACCTCCACTCCAGAAAACAAAACTGAAAACAAAGTGGCAAATGCTTACAGAAGCAGAGCTCATTTCTGGTGTGACAAATACACGCCATTTATGGGCTCATGGCCTTTTACTCTACAAACGTCCTTGGATTCTTTTGCGTCTCGAAAAATAAAAAACCCAGCAGTCAAGTTGATGCAGCACTCAAATTCAAAAGCGATGGTCTGCCTCCCTAAGATTGTACACAGCGGAATTGCAGGTAACTAGAATAAACTGCACAGCCACATTGTAGAAGCAGAATTGCTGGATCTGGTCCCTGCATCATTTAGCTGTGGGTAAACAAATACTGTCAACAAGACAGTCCAAATGGCCTACTCTTGTTTGGGACCTCTCTCACAACCTCATGTTCAGTATCCCTGTACTGTTCTCATCACACAGCTCTGGAACCTGCAAACACAACCCCATTACTGGCGCTATTTTCCAGCTGGTTCATTCCGGGGGTGCTACATTGGACCACAGGAGCTAGAACACAGGACTGTACGCCTCTACGGACGCAGCCCCGCGCGGCACCGGCCCCTCTTACCTTTGGTGTAGTAGTGGGTGCGGGCGATTTCCAGCAGGCTGAACACGCTGGCCATTCCTCCCAGCCCTGCGTTGGTGTAGGAGTGCTCCAGGCTGGACACCGTGCATTTCAGCAAGTCCAGCATCCCCTTGTACACCTTGCGGCTGACCTCCTGAAAGAGCCCGGCGACACGGTCAGACCGTCAACACAATCATTGTTTCTGAGACGTCCCTAGTTTCTCCTGCGACTCCTGAAGTTCTGCATTCCGTACTTGTCTGTATTAATGACACTTGCTTTCAATTCAATTCATTTTGATGTGGTGCCTTTCACAACAAGGCTGCCCCAAGGCACTTAAAGCAAGGGATTCCACCCTCTCTTCCACATCTTTCCACCATCTCCCTAACCTGCCAATTTCTTTATGCAAGGCTGAATGGAAGCGAAAAACACTGCTTCATGTTAAAGCACCGCCTCTCCATAATGAAGTCTGCATACCTTAGACAAAGCCAAAGACCTTCTGCAGGCTCCGACTACTGAGCACACCGCTTCATACCATCAACCACAGCAATAACTGGGAGGCAACAAATGTTGTAGATTTACGAGAGCCCTAGAAGAGGAAACTGAGATTTTGTGGGGGGTGTGGAACAGGCTACCCAGCCACATAGTTGAACCCTGGCTTCTTTCTTTCAACTACCGAACAGGCTAGATGGGTCCAATGGCCTCCTTCTCGTGCAGAACCTTCCTACCCCTCATGATTTGCCGTCTTTCAGTTTTAAATGGCTCAGTGCAGTTTAGAAACCCCCTGTTTCTTGCCAGCAATCTTCAATAGCTGAAAGCTGAAAGATCACCCACTGCCGAGGGTCCTTCCTCACGAGAGCCCAAGCTGAAAGGCTTGTGTGCTCCTTCTCCCAGGGAAATGCAGCGCCCCCCCTCTCCCGTTTCCACCGCGCTCACCACGTCATGTATGACGTCCTGCCTGGCGTCCTCTTCGGACTGGACGGCCCTGCTCAGCTTGCTCAGGACGAAGACGCGCAGCTGCTCGTTCTCCAGCAGGCGGCGCACTTTCTTCATGTTGAGCCAGCCCACGCCCTGCCCCTCCAGGACACTCTGGACCACCTCCTTCAGGAACTGCTGGTTTTCACTGAGAGACGCGACACAGAGAAGGGGGGGGGGCTCACTGCAGCCTCCACACAAACTAGGAAAGGGCAGAAAAGCACCCCAGTTCCGTTTGCTGGGATTTGTTTTTCTTCTAAGGCTGGATACAATCAGAAGAGTGTGTGGGCTTGCAGTTGAAAACAGAGCAGCCTGGCCTCACTCCCCTCCCACCCAGATTTCATCCCAGACTCCTGCAAGCACAATTTCTGTCCAACACAATCCAGGCTTGTAGGGAAGCTACGCCGTGTGTGGTTCTTGCAAAATGGAGAACCACAGGAAATGGCGTAGGGGAAGCGTTTCCGCGTTGCACCCGGTTAGCCAGGCTTTGACCTTGGCTTTGCAGGGCGACAGCTCTCCTTCCCACTAGTCTCCCCCGGGAAGCGCCTTCCCCCTTGCACCCCAGTCACACGGCAGTAGCAGGAAAACAAACCGGAATTTGAGCAGAGGCAACATCAGAAAACCCCGGAGGACAGCTAGACATCGAGACGCCCTGACAGTTTTTACCTAGTGTTATTAGCTCTTCCTTGGGGAGAAGGCGACTCCTTCTTCACAGTTGGGCTGTGTTTGATGACCGAGGACTTCTGGTCAACAAGCGCTCTCCTGTTTCCTGAAAACGCCACACAGCCTGCGTCAGCCTTCTCGAGCAGGACTTAGAGATGAGAAATATTCAGCTGCATATTTACCATTCAGAACCACACACTAATACATATGGTACACTACAGGCGTTAACAGCAGAAATGCCAATGGTGCTACTAATTACTAATAACAAAATAAATAATATTTAACTAAAAAAAGGAGAGAATGGCATCACTCTAGCACATCGCACATTGGCAGAAAACAGGAGTGACAATTTAGGAGTTAAAAGTACTATGAGAATATGCTTGCACTGTGAGGTTGTAAACGGTGTTTTTGTTCATGCAACACTAGAATGAAAAAAAAATTCTAATTTTAAAAGATTTGTTTTTTAAATGAAGGTGTATTCAAAGGTGTAGTAACCATGGTCGACAAAGAGGTGGAATGAATGATCGGGGGTGGTGGAGGTCACATGATGTTTACTGGCCAATGAGAGTGTAGCCTGGCGAGGCAGGTGCGGGGGATGCTGGGAGGTTGCTGTTGATTGGCTGGTAAGCATGCAGCTCATGCAAGGGTGAGACCCACCTTCACTGCTGACAGGGCCAGCCTCTGATATTATCTCCATTATAGAATTTAGCCCAAATACTGGACACAAAATCCACAATTAGTGCAGTGAAAAATAACACTGAAGCCAGAACACAAAAAAAACAAGACGTATACACAAAAAACAAAACATTTAAGATGCGAACTTGACAAACAAGAGCAACAAGCAAAAAATAAAATCACACAAGCACACCAGACAAACAGCATTCCAGTCACTGTTATGGACTGTGTCTTTAGCAGAAGGCATATTCAGCAGAATCCATTTAATAACATTTTATATCTTGTATTTATATCTTGTATAGTGGAGACAAATTTATCATTGAATGATTCATACAATACACACTTTATGTGTATGTTATGCACTACTCCTTCAATTTTTATTTTGAAGTATAGTCAGCAACACAAGGATACATTAAAATATTCTGTATGTATACAGTATATAGCCTGATTCATATAGCCTGAATCTCAACAGACATTTCAGAGGGATTTAAAATCCCTAGTTGAAAAGATAAGAAGCCTTTCAAAACATTTTGGTTTTGAACTTAAATTTTAAATGCCATGCATTAATCTTGCTGAACTAAATCTCTTGGCACTTATATTTTCCCAAGCTTGCAGACATCGTTTTGGTGCACCTGCTGCTTTGTAGCGGGATACACAGGAGCACAGGAGTCCATAACCGACTCGAACAGTGTTCACACTGATGAATGGCACAACAAGGGTCACGGCAAGGTTCCTGTGCAATTTACAGCATCTGTCAGCAGCAGTGTACCCTTCAGCATTTAAAATATGAAGCGAACTTAACACTAAAGGACATCTCTGGCACTCAGTACCATAGACATAATAACCGATGCAAAATAACATAACACAGCTGCACTTCAAAACACCAAGCACTTAGCAAAAAGGCTTCCACATCAGGCTAAGCAGGTCTTGTTTTAGTTTTTTCTGCTGCAGACAACCACTGTACGCTGTTGCGAGCAGATTCCACTTTTAAAAGAAAACGTCCCCCCCCCATAGATCAATGACTCTCTGCCCCCACCCCAGGAAAGAAATAAATAAAATGAACACCATGAAATCTGGCACCATGACAAGCAAGGACAAAAGAATTTAAAAAATGGAACAAAAGAAAGGGAGAAAAATGCTTAGAAGAATGACTGAAATAATGTCACAAATTGGAAAATAAACCTTCTGTTTTCTTCAAATGCGAGTATGTTAGCAGATCAGCACAAAGTCTCCCATAGTTACCTTAGGGGATGGGGGCTCAGTTTTGCAACTCTAAGCTCAATAGCATTGTATGAATGCTATAATCATGAGAGAACGTCATGGAAAAACCAAAAGTCTTCAGCTTATAGAGGCAGGGGCTCAACGTATAGCATGTGAGCACACGCACAACACTGTACCAGACAGGACCATACCTGAGCGCCCTGCCTTAGCATCGCAACAAAGACGCTTCAACATCTAGCATCTAGGGGAGTATTGTGGGTGCTATTCGCCAAGTTTTATGCAACAAGCCAGACGCGCATTTTTTTTTTCTCAAAGTATGCGTTCATTAACAAGATCGTTTTCAAACCTTGCGCTCAATTAATGAAAACAGACCTTCTGAGAAAAAAAAAGAAAGGCAGTGTTCCCCGGAGACAAACATGACCGTTCGGTAAGGTCAAAGTTCGGGGGAAAAAAAGGGCTTTCATACCAACCTTCATCTTTCTCCTTTTCTACTTCGAGATTAAAGTAATCTTTTTTTTTAGATATAATTTGTGGCAAAAAAAGAAGAAAAAAAGAAAGCAAAGAACATAAAATAACACAAAACCCAAACTAAAAATAGCCGTGTACTAAGGATAAACAAGTCAAACATCTCACAAAACAGACACCTTCAATACTTAAAATGTTACACACACACGGTGTTCAACAAGGCATGTTGTACACGGGTTCAGTTAGTATTTGTGCGCACAGGAAGCTCTGTCTGTGCACAAAGCCTGAAAAAGTCACAATGTTTAGGGTGAACACAGCATCACTTGTGTGTAAGACAGAAAGGGACCTTTGGCAAGGTCCAATATAAGCTTTGCTGGATGAAGAAATATGGCTGACAATGAAGATCTATGCCATTTTCATGTTCAATTTGACCTTAAATGTTTCAGGATTTTAATGTGCCAATACAGGACACTGAGTCCCATCTCGAGCATGGACGGGGAAAAATGAAGTTTAACGAACGTTACGGCACCCAGAGGCACATCGCCACCGATTTAATGCCAGCTGGGGTCCCCGATTGGTAATTGATCGCTGTGACTACCGTGTTTCACATATATTGGACCTTCCACAAGAGATTAAGTCAGTTAAGGAAGCAACCACTTTCGCAAATAAGATCACAAATTCTGCACTGGACTCGGACCACAAAGTCAAACTCTGTTTCTGGACTGGGGCAGGATGGGATTTCCTTACATCCCCTTCAAATTTTTTAATTGCAGTTTCGAGCAGCTTCTCGCTGACATTGAGCTGTCCAGCCAGCCTGCTCCCATTCTTACATACCCTGAAGTGTCTCATACATCACTGATGGTGCTCAGGCACCATGTACTTAAAGTAAGGGGGGTAACCACATTTCTACTTGCTTTTAAAAAAAAAACTTCTGGATCAGACGCCAGGAAGAGGAATGCATTTGTCTTTCTCCTTGGATTTCCAGAAATTAAAAAAACACCCTGAAATGATCCCTTTGAACACTGTCTGGTATTTACAAAAGTGCAAGGATTTCAAAGAATAGGGAGTGTCTTGTAGGTTTTTTTTGCTCTCTACAGATGATCCTCGCTGGACATCACTTTGACTAAAACTCTGCATGTTACTTGAACAGAGATGACGAGAAGAGCTGAAAAAGAGCACAGCGTCAAGGGCAGCGGAGAAGGAGAATGGCTGCTTTTCTCCCAAACACAGAGCACACCGAGGGCAGAGCACAGACAGGCCAGCAGACTCGGAAACAGTACCTTTCAGGCTGGGGAAAGGAGTGGTTTTATCCCTCGCTGCCTTAGGCAAGGCCAGGTTGGACAAGCTGAAACTGGTGCTGTGGTTCTTGTACAGATTACCTGGAACAAAGAGCCAGAGTAGTGTAATGGGTCAGTTTGTGTTGTGGCAGTCACTGGCGTTGGCTGTACTAATGCAATAGCAAAGCCCAAGAGCGTTGGTTAACCAGCTGCATGTCTGCACAACGAGTTACTGCGTCCGAAATGCTTACATGGAGAGAGGACCCCATGCACGTGTGTGCGTGAAAACAGACACACGCCAACGCTTTTCAGCCGCCTTCTTTTTCCGTCACCTGCCAAAGAAAGCCGAGACGGCAAGCTGGGGCTCACAAGACCCTTGCGTCGATGCTTCAAGAAGCTAAGGGCATTCATCTCTTCAAGAAGCCCTTACCACAACCCTTGCAGTTCACCACAGTCTGCAGTGTTCGGCCAGGACGCTAGGGTTACACCCCTACTCTTTTGGGGAAACACCCTGGGATTTTAAATGACCACAGAGAGTCAGGACCTCAGTTTTATGTCTCATCCGAAGGACGGCGCCTTTTTACAGTACAGTGTCCCTGTCATTATACTGGGGCATTAGGACCCACACAGACCGCAGGGTGAGCGCCCCCTACTGGCCCCACTAACACCTCTTCCAGCAGCAGCCTTAGTTTTTCCCAGAAGGTCTCCCATCCAGGTACTGACCAGGCTCACAGCTGCTGAGGTTCAGTGGGCTGCCAGTTTGGAGCTGCAGGGTGATGTGGCAGCTGGCCATAAGTACAGTTGCACCTTACTCCTGCCTTTGGTTCTGTGCTGTACTACACTTCTACACTACTACACTGCAGTACTACGCTGTACTGCATCTTTACCATTTTACCAAGGTATACCACTGCCAACTTGTCGCCTGTAGGCAGGAAGAGACAAATCGCCAGCACAAAGTAAAATCCTATTTGCTTGCGAGTGGTACAACATGGTCCCAGAGTTTCATCCAGACGAAAGAGGGGCTGGTCACAGCCCTCCCTCCCACGGACAGAATAGGCTCAGTTAGGTCGATCGCTGACAGCAGCGCGTGGGCAAACTGAAGAAAACGCCCTCCCACGAGCGAAACCTGCTCCTCGGTTCATCCAAGCGGGTCGGATTGCTGGGGATGCGCATCGCAACGCCGCAGGGTCCTACAGCTCTGCTCCTATCGCGGCAGCTTTTACTATCGTTCACACCAATCACTTCCCCCGAGAAGAGCTGAAGTACAGACATTTCAGACA